TGTGTGTGTGTGTGTGTGTGGTGTGTGTGTGTGTGTGTGTGTGTGTGTGTGTGTGTGTGTGTGTGTGTGTGTGTGTGTGTGAAAGAGAGAAAAACAAGCTGTACTTTTATTATGGCTGCTAATTGCTAGATACTATTTAGCCATTGTCTGTTTATATCAATGAAACGATAAAAAAGAACCGTGGCAAGGAAGTACTGGATTAGTACTTTATTCGCATTACATACGCAGGACATTACGTGTACATAATACCGTACGTGAAACACACATGTATAACACACTACGTAAGATGAGGAAGTAACATTTAGAATTAAGTAGAAATCACATGACTATTTGAGACGTATGAACTTTAATTCAATAATCGCTAACAGACAAGAGTGAGAAATTATTAAATTAAAAAAGAAAAAGAGAGACAAATAGTTTTTGTATTGAGAGATAAGTTTCCGTGAATCGAATCAAACCAGAGAAAATGAATCCAAAAATAGGAAATGGGCGCAACACGATTGTACTAAGAGAGTTACAAAATGGTGTAAGTTATAAAAAGTTAATGAGAGACAAAACGAAACTGGTAAGCCTACATTTTCTCTAGATAACGAAGAAACGAACACTAGATCGCGAGAACATGGAGATACACAAATCTCATGTAGAAGAAGAGTGGCAATATATAAATCTCACACGGAATAAAAACATCTAATGGACGTCCATTAGACATGTATCATGGAGATACAAAATCCAATAGATGTCCAATTAATGTCCATAGAATCTGGACATATAAATATCCGCTCATTATGTCTCCATTTGACCTCCATTAGACGTATTGAATAAAAGTTCTATGGAGGTTTTATGGAGTATGTATGTATAGATATTTATTGGAGCTCTTACATAATAAAAATTTTGTTTATTTATGTTCAATACATTTTACATGCCTCAGACGGTTTATTCTAATTTTTGTGTTAATTTAATATAAGACGAATATGTCAAACAATGACATAAATATTATGTTCACAATTATACAAATATTATGTTCACAACACAAAATGACTAACTAAGTTTGACACTATTTAGAAGCAAATTTTATGTATAATTGAGATATTTATAACGTAAAATGTAACTTGAATAAAACATTATTTTTATGCTAAAAAATTATATTTTACTTATTTTTTACTTTTTTATTTTAGTCTTTAAGTATAAATCTTTAAGTATTGTCAACAAATTAGCCTAAAATCTTCGTAATTATTGTGCTATTTAATAAATCTAATTTATATTATATTTAAAAAACATGTTTACCATACTAATACAATTTAAACTCGGAACTCTAATTCAGTTGTCTATCTAGTGGACTATATATTCAACCTCGTGCAGATATTGCGGATTAACTAAGTTTTGAGTTAGCAACATTTGCAGAAGAAAATTAACACAATTGTCTATAAATCTTAACATATAAAATATGTCACCAATAATTCAAAAAACATATTTATTTAATAAAATTTATATTCATAATATATTAACCTTACATATAAATATAAAATGTGTTCTTTTAATTTTTATAATTGTGAGTTACTTATTAAAATTCACAATTGTTTAATTGTAATAACAGTGGTTTAATTATTTATTAAACATTAACTAAGTATACTTTTTACAAGACTGCATATTTATTTTCGTTTATATATTTCATCTCTGTGGAAATCATAATACTGTTTTGTAAAATATTTTACTAATTTTGTCAATGTTCTTTAAATAATATCTTATTAATTATTCTTCTTATTAGTTACAATCTCTTTAGAAAAATATTATGCACACAAAATAAAGATATATTAATATATTTATATTTCTCTAAAAGAATAATGAGTTACACTTTCACAAGACACGTTTATTTCATATTCATAAGAGTTCCACGTATTGAGTTTATAAGAGCTCTCCATACAATATATATATCCATAAAAATTCTATCATATATACATGATGGATCTCTAATGGACATCCATGATGGATATTATATAGATATCTATCATAGATGTAATATCAGTGAACTATATATAAACTGGAATGAACACGCCCGGGAAAAAATAATTATATATAATTATATTTAAAAAGTTATACAGAGTGTCTCAAAATTGTAACACACCAACTCTATAGGGGCTAAGCGAGAGGATCAGAAAAGTCCTCTTCCATTTAGCGATAACGCGTCTAGTTTGTTAGTAACAACCACGTAAAGTTTGGCGTTTGTCACGTTCATCGCGGCTTATAGACGCTCCGCGGCGAGCTATGGGCGTCGAGGCTGAGCGGTAACGCGACGCGTTCATCGTCACCTCGCCGCGCGTCGGCAGCGTCAAAACGTAAAGACGCCATCGTGGCAGTCAGCGCGAGCCGCGTTACCGCTCAGCCTCGACGCACATAGCTCGCCGCGGAGCGTCTATAGACCGCGATGAGCGTGACAAACGCCAAACTTTATGCGGTTGTTACTAACAAACTAGACGCGTTATCGATAAATGGAAGACGACTTTTCTGATCCTCTCGCTTAGCTCTATGCCCCTATGGAGTTAGTGTGTTACAATTTTGAGATACCTTGTATATATAAATTATAATATAATTATATTACATTATAATTATAATTATAATACTTATATATGAATAAATTATATATGAATTTCATCCATATATTATCATATATATAATCATCAAATCATATGTTCATATGGAAAGAAAATTATGTTAAATGAAAATAGGAAGAAATAGTTTCATTCAATTAACATCGAAATCATGTGCTGCCAGAAGCATAAGCATTTACTTTGATTATATTTGTATAACAGTATTCTTTTCGTTATGGAAATATATGATTATGCATGATTATATATGGCTAGATAGGCATATACAAAATTATTAT